GAACCCAATGTGTAATAGTCAACAAAATAAAATCCAACCCATCAACCGTGAAGAGCTCAGTCCCCCAGGGTACTGTGCTTGCTCCAGTACTTTTTCTCATCCTCATTTCGGACATAGACAAGAACACAACCTATAGCACTGTATCATCCTTTGCAGATGACACTAGGATCTTCATGAGAGTAGGCAACATAGAGGACACGGCGAACCTCCAGTCAGATGTAGATCAGGTCTTACTATGGGCTACAGAAAATAATATGGTGTTTAACGAAGATAAGTTCCAGCTCATGCGCTATGGAAAAAATGAAAATATAAAAACGGAAACCACGTACAAAACTCAGGCAAATCATAACATAGAACGAAAAGGCAATGTAAAGGATCTGGGTGTACTCATGTCGGAAGACCTTACCTTTAAAGAACACAATAAAGTAGCCGTCACAACTGCAAGAAAAATGACAGGTTGGATAACAAGAACTTTTCATACTAGAGATGCTATACCGATGATGATACTTTTCAAAACGCTTGTGCTCTCTAGAGTAGAGTACTGCTGCACAATGACAGCACCTTTCAAAGCTGGAGAAATTGCTGACCTGGAGAGCGTGCAGAGATCCTTTACTGCTAGAATCCACTCAGTAAAACATCTAAACTATTGGGACCGACTAAAGATCCTAAAACTGTACTCCCTTGAGCGCAGGCGGGAGAGGTACATAATAATTTACACGTGGAAAATATTAGAGGGGCTGGTCCCAAACCTGCACACAGAAATAACATCACATGAGACCAGAAGACATGGCAGGATGTGCAGAATACCCCCGTTGAAAAACAGAGGTGCAACTGGTACTCTGAGAGAGAACTCTATCAACATCAGAGGTCCGAGACTGTTCAACACGCTTCCACTACACATAAGGGGAATAACTGGCCGACCCCTCACAGTGTTCAAGAGAGAACTGGACAAGCACCTCCAAAGGATACCTGATCAACCAGGCTGTGACTCATACGTCAGGCTGCGAGCAGCCGCGTCCAACAGCCTGGTTGATCAGTCCGGCAACCAGGAGGCCTGGTCGACGACCGGGCCGCGGGGACGCTAAGTCCCGGAAGCACCTCAAGGTAACCTCAAGGTAACCTCCATGTGTGTGTGATCACATATGATTCTCTATCGTGTCATGTATGCAGTTTCGTATGATTCAGATCGAAATCGATTTCTACAGATCCTGCAGCGCTTCTTATGGGAGTAATAACTGACTAACTGTTTCTGTAGATCTTGGCATGGTCTTTAGTCGTTCAGTGAAGGGTTGTTTATCATTGTTACTTGTTATCTTGGGTTCTCCCGCTGTTACGGTGTCTGTTATGTAGTCTCTGAACCCTTTACACTCTGGGATTACCGTCTTCTTGAATATCCTGTCTTTCCTGACCGTCAGGGTCAATCCCTAACTTGCCTTACTACCTGACAGTATGTATCTAAATATGTACTCACACAAATATACCATCCGAAAAGTACTTCCAGAACTGCAGTCTATCGTTGTGAGTTTATTCAGTCCAGACAGAACTATTACCATTTGTTAAGTTAAGAAAAAAACCTCTAAGGAGGTTACAGGATTCCAAGTTTCAAGGACAGCTTATATACTGTGCAGTGTTTTTCTCACATATGAATTATTATCAAATCCGCCTGTAATCCCGGCTGATAGATTTGCTGACTCGCGAGAAGACTTCCGTAGCACTGAAAGACTTCATTCAATTCGATGTCTTCCAAAAATAACCAGTCGTCTAATCCTTCACCTTCAAACAAGCATATGACCACAGCGCAAACAGCATGCAGTATAGTACTTCACCTTCAGACTAACACATGACCACAGCGCCAACAGCTTGCAGCATAGTACTTCACCTTCAGACTAACACATGACCACAGCGCCAACAGCTTGCAGTATAGTACTTCACCTTCAGACTAACACATGACCACAGCGCCAACAGCTTGCAGCATAGTACTTCACCTTCAGACTAACACATGACCACAGCGCCAACAGCTTGCAGCATAGTACTTCACCTTCAGACTAACACATGACCACAGAGCCAACAGCTTGCAGCATAAGTTGTCTGTGAATATGACAGTTCTCGCCGTTAAACAGATTTAATTACGGGATTCCCGAGGCTCTGCTAAATGTTTCCCAAGCATCGGTACCGCTTAGGAAACATATCACAGGTTCGCTCGTTTCACCAACGGCCGGGAGAAAGTATTCTTGGGAACTCAAGGACCAGATGGCTCAGTGAGCTCAAGGACCAGATGTCTCATTGAGCTCAAGGACCAGATGGCTCAGTGAGCTCAAGGACCAGATGTCTCATTGAGCTCAAGGACCAGATGGCTCAGTGAGCTCAAGGACCAGATGTCTCAGTGAGCTCAAGGACCAGATGTCTCATTGAGCTCAAGGACCAGATGTCTCATTGAGCTCAAGGACCAGATGTCTCATTGAGCTCAAGGACCAGATGTCTCAGTGAGCTCAAGGACCAGATGTCTCATTGAGCTCAAGGACCAGATGTCTCATTGAGCTCAAGGACCAGGTGTCACAGTGAGCTCAAGGACCAGGTGTCCCAGTGAGCTCAAGGACCAGATGTCTCAGTGAGCTCAAGGACCAGATGTCTCAGTGAGCTCAAGGACCAGATGTCTCAGTGAGCTCAAGGACCAGATGTCTCAGTGAGCTCAAGGACCAGGTGTCTCATTGAGCTCAAGGACCAGATGTCTCAGTGAGCTCAAGGACCAGGTGTCCCAGGGAACTCAAGGACCAGATGGCTCAGTGAGCTCAAGGACCAGATGTCTCAGTGAGCTCAAGGACCAGATGTCTCAGTGAGCTCAAGGACCAGATGTCTCAGTGAGCTCAAGGACCAGATGTCTCAGTGAGCTCAAGGACCAGATGTCTCAGTGAGCTCAAGGACCAGATGTCTCAGTGAGCTCAAGGACCAGATGTCTCAGTGAGCTCAAGGACCAGATGTCTCAGTGAGCTCAAGGACCAGATGTCTCAGGGAACTCAAGGACCAGATGTCTCGGTGAGCTCAAGGACCAGATGTCTCAGTGAGCTCAAGGACCAGGTGTCCCAGGGAACTCAAGGACCAGGTGTCTCAGGGAGCTGAGGGACCAGGTGTCCCAGGGAGCTGAGGGACCAGGTGTCCCAGGGAACTCAAGGACCAGGTGTCCCAGGGAACTCAAGGACCAGGTGTCTCAGGGAGCTGAGGGACCAGGTGTCCCAGGGAACTCAAGGACCAGGTGTCCCAGGGAGGTGAGGGACCAGGTGTCCCAGGGAGCTGAGGGACCAGGTGTCCCAGGGAGCTGAGGGACCAGGTGTCCCAGGGAGCTGAGGGACCAGGTGTCCCAGGGAGCTGAGGGACCAGGTGTCCCAGGGAGCTGAGGGACCAGGTGTCCCAGGGAACTCAAGGACCAGGTGTCCCAGGGAGCTGAGGGACCAGGTGTCACAGGGAACTCAAGGACCAGGTGTCCCAGGGAGCTGAAGGACCAGGTGTCCCAGGGAGCTGAGGGACCAGGTGTCCCAGGGAACTCAAGGACCAGGTGTCCCAGGGAGCTGAGGGACCAGGTGTCCCAGGGAGCTGAGGGACCAGGTGTTCCAGGGAGCTGAGGGACCAGGTGTAACAGGGAGCTGAAGGGACAGGTGTTCCAGGCATCTTAACGACAATTCTTACAGTGAGCTGAAGAACCAAGTGTTCCAGGGTGTTTCAGCACCAGGTATTTCAGGCAGATGAAGAACAAAGTGTCCAAGAGAGCTGAAGCACCAGGTGTTCCTGGAAGATGAAGGACCAGGAGTTCCAGGTAGCTGAAGGGGAAAGTGTTTCAGGGAGCTGAATGGTTAGGTATTTCAGGGTTTTTAAGAATTACGTGTTCCAGGGAGGTAAAGTGTCAGGTGTTCCAGGAAGACAGCTTAAAGACCTTGTGTTCATGTAAGGTGAACAACTAAATGTTCCATGCTGCTGAAGGACCAAGTGTTTCAGGGAGCTGAAGGACGAGGTGTTCCAGGCTGAAGAAAGACCAGATTTTCTAGTTAGTTGAATGATTATGTGTTTCAGTGAGATGAAACACCGGGTGTTCCAGAGAGTTGATTGACTATGTATTCCAGGCAGTTGAAACACCAGGTGTTTCACCTGCAAATAAGGGACTAAGTATTCCAGTGAGACGAAAGTCCAAGTGTTCCAAGACCCTGAACGACCAGGTGTTCCAAGACCCTGAACGACCAGGTGTTCCAAGGACCTGAACGACTAGATGTTCCAAGACCCTGAACGACCAGGTGTTCCAAGACCCTGAACGACCAGGTGTTCCAAGACCCTGAACGACCAGGTGTTCCAAGACCCTGAACGACCAGGTGTTCCAAGACCCTGAGCGACCAGGTGTTCCAAGACCCTGAACGACCAGGTGTTCCAAGACCCTGAACGACCAGGTGTTCCAAGACCCTGAACGACCAGGTGTTCCAAGACCCTGAACGACCAGGTGTTCCAAGACCCTGAACGACCAGGTGTTCCAAGACCCTGAACGACCAGGTGTTCCAAGACCCTGAACGACCAGGTGTTTCAAGACCCTGAACGACCAGGTGTTCCAAGACCCTGAACGACCAGGTGTTCCAAGACCCTGAACGACCAGGTGTTTCAAGACCCTGAACGACCAGGTGTTCCAAGACCCTGAACGACCAGGTGTTCCAGGGAGTAGAAGGCAACATTTAATGCGTGATATTCGTTCACTGACGATGTACTTCGAGTCTAATACTTCACACAGTATCAGTGGGTAAGTCCTGTAATCTTCGCGGCCTGAGCTTCTCACATCCACTATTTAACTAATTTTGTTTTGTATTCCCTTGGATCGACTCTCCTTGTTCCGTATGGTGTAATTTAGCTTTGTTTAACTCTATAAGTGGGGTGGATAGCGGAGACTGATACATTACTGGTAAACAAATGATGTTAAATATAAACGAGGCATCCAGGCACAGGGTTGCTCGCGGGGCAGGTATAAAAGATTGATTCTTGGCTGACACTCATTCAACGCCCGACGCTCCGTCGACGCACACACGCTCACTCGACACGCTAACGCTCCCACGATTCACTTGTTGCACCAAACTCAACAAGCAAAATGGATAGACGAATCATCCTCACCTTATTCGTGTGAGTCGCTTTTTTATTTTTATTTGATGCTGTGTGTGTACTCACCTACGTGTACTCAACTATTTTTGTCTGACATATGGGACTCGACACTTGTAAACATGTCGTTCACGTATATTAGAAATAGAACCGGTCCCTGCATCGATGCTTGAGGTACTCAACTCATTACGGTTCGCCTGTCTGGCTTCTCCCCCTTTACCGTTACTCTCTGGCTTCTGTGTGCTAAGTAATTCCTTAGCCAAACTAGGGCTTTTCTGCTTACTCCCACCTGTCTCTCAAGTTTGAATAGCACTCTCCGGAGCGGTATTGTATCTAAGGCCTTTTACATTCCAGAAATATGTAGTTTGCCCATCCTTCCCTGTCCTGCCTTATTCTTGCTACTTTAGCATTGAATTCCAGAAGGTTTGTTAGGCATGATTTTTCTTCTCTGAACACATGTTGGTGTTCGTTTACATACCTAATGTTCTCTGTGTGACCAGTCTTAACCTGACTATTCTTTCAGATACATTACAGAGGATGCTTCTCATTGGTAAAGGTCTGTAGTTAAGTGCCTCTTCCCTATCTCCTCTCTTGAAAATTTTAACTATATCTTCTTCCAGCAACTGGGCAACGCTCCCTTCGTGTGTAACTCATTAAAGATCTTTGCTAGAGGCACGCTGAGGGCCTGCGCTGCCTCTTTGAGAATTCACGGTGATACATTGTTTGGTCAAACTGCTTTAGTTTCATCCAGTGTTGTTAGCTGTTTCATTACCTCCTCTGCTGTCACTTCTACATCTGCTAATCTCTCATCTTGGGTCATCTCCACTTCTGACAATGGGAGCTGCTCAGGCTCGGTTGTGAACACTCCATGGAAACTGGTATTCAGTCCGTTGCAAATTTCCTTATCATTTTCTGTAAATGTCCCTCCAGTTTTATTTCGTCTTGTGACTTGGTCGTTCACCGAAAGTTTCCTTCTTATGTGACTATGTAGTAATTTATGTTGGTTTTACGCTTTGATCGCAATATCGTTTTCATAATTCCTTTCCGATACTCTCCTTATATTAATGTATTCATTCCTAGCTCTGTTGCATCTAATCCTGTTGTTCTCTGTCCTTTGTCTTCTGCACTTTGTCCACTCTCGCCTGCTTCTCATTTTTGCTTCCTGGCACTGTCTATTAAACCATTGACTTTTATAATAACTCCTACTTGTTTAATTTACAGTTGATATAAAACTCTCTTCGGCTTCCTTGCAATTCTACTTGACTAGGTCCATCATATCGTGCACTGTGTTTCCTGTTAGTTCTTCTTCCCACTGAACCTCTCTGAGATATTCCCTTATCCTTCTGTAATCCCCTTTCTTATAGTCTGCTCTCTTTTTCCAGTCCTCTTATTGCATGGTCACAATTTAAAGCTCGATCATGGAGTCAAACACTAGGACACAATAATCACTGCCTCCTAGTGGTATTTTACCATATTCGTAATATCTTCCTCATTCTGGATGAAAATCAGATCAATAGGCAAAATGTATTCCCTCCTCTTTTCCTTGTGTCTTACTTCAAATGTTGTTTAAGGCAATTCCTTTCAATAACTTACACTAATTTTGCTCCCACGTTTCTTCCCCACCAGTGTGATTTCTTAATTCGCGACCCATTTCTCCGTGATTGAGGTCCCCCCATGACTAACAGTTTCACTCATTTTGTGAGCTGTTGTTGCTGCCCTCTGCAGTTCATCTATGCATGTTCTGTTTGGTGGGGGATTGTAGATTAACATGATCACAGTCCTCTTCCCATCTGCTGTTAGAGTCCCAAGTATGGAACTTGCGTGTTCATTAGTCCTCTGATTCTCCAGTCTCTCACATTTCCATTTCCAGTTTATGAGGATTGCCACTTTCCCTCCCTGTCTCTGTGTCCTTTCCTTCCCTCCCTGTCTCTGTGTCCTTTCCTTCCCTCCCTGTCTCTGTGTCCTTTCCTTCCCTCCCTGTCTCTGTGTCCTTTCCTTCCCTCCCTGTCTCTGTCCTTTCCTTCCCTCCCTGTCTCTGTGTCCTTTCCTTCCCTCCCTGTCTCTGTGTCCTTTCCTTCCCTCCCTGTCTCTGTGTCCTTTCCTTCCCTCCCTGTCTCTGTGTCCTTTCCTTCCCTCCCTGTCTCTGTGTCCTTTCCTTCCCTCCCTGTCTCTGTGTCCTTTCCTTCCCTCCCTGTCTCTGTGTCCTTTCCTTCCCTCCCTGTCTCTGTGTCCTTTCCTTCCCTCCCTGTCTCTGTGTCCTTTCCTTCCCTCCCTGTCTCTGTGTCCTTTCCTTCCCTCCCTGTCTCTGTGTCCTTTCCTTCCCTCCCTGTCTCTGTGTCCTTTCCTTCCCTCCCTGTCTCTGTGTCCTTTCCTTCCCTCCCTGTCTCTGTGTCCTTTCCTTCCCTCCCTGTCTCTGTGTCCTTTCCTTCCCTCCCTGTCTCTGTGTCCTTTCCTTCCCTCCCTGTCTCTGTGTCCTTTCCTTCCCTCCCTGTCTCTGTGTCCTTTCCTTCCTTATCACTTGGTATTCCTCTGGAAAGATTTTATTTATTTTATTTATATATATACAAGAAGGTACAATGGGTTTAAGAGAGTACATAGCATTGCTGTTTTTACATTCTTGTAAAGCCACTAGCACGCATAATGTTTCGGGCAGGTCCTTCATCTAACAGATAATTTAAAGTAGGTTATTTCTAGCAAAATTTAAAAAATGTTAACAGGTATATTGTATGAAAATTTGACAAAGATTTGTACGTATATTAAAGTAGAGATTTAGGGGTTATAAACAGGTACATGGTAGCATAATTTGAGGATTATTTCAGGTATAAGGCAATACAATATGCGTTCAATATAACATCCATGATACAAGATGATAGCAATGATTGCAATGGTAAAGTTTTATGGCTAAGGTACATATATTGGGGGATTAGGTATCACAAGATACAGTGCGAGTTTAAAGCACTAGGTAGGAAACAATGAAGATGAAATTAGGAACTTTTTGTTTTTGAATAAATCAAAAGTTGGACAGCAATTTAATTCGTTAAGGATTGAGTTCCATAGACTAGGTCCCTATATTTGCATAAAATATTTACACAGATTAAGTTTGACTCTGGGGATATCAAAGAGATATTTATTTCTGGTGTGGTGATTATGTGTTCTATTACATCTGTCAAGGGGAAGTTTCAGAACAGGGAGTACAGAACATTTAATAACAGAGTTTTGTAAATGTAAATGTCACAAGAGAATGTGTGGAATGAGTTTATGTTTAGCATGTTCAGGGATTTAGCGGAAGGGGGGGGGGCGTATTACGGAAAAATGCGATAAATGAAAACTGATTCGATTTAAATCAAACACTTTTGGCTAGTTGTATATAAAATGTGGTTCAACTGGCCCAAGTCTCAGCATCATAGCATACATAGGAAGGGAGAAAAAATATTGAATTATGTGTCAACAATTTTCCAAAATGGTAAAAAATTAACATCAAACAAAAGTGTCAACTGAAATTAAGTCTATGACTCTAAGCTATCACAATAGCATAAAATAGAGTATTTTAATATTTACTTTTATGCCAAAAAAATTTCCCTCCCCCAAAAAATTAGATTTGTTTTTTCTCATATTTTTTATCAGCCGATTTGCATGAAACTTATACACCTTACAGAACGTATGACTGTCTGTAAAGATGCAAATTTTAAAGGAAATTGGTTGAAGTCAACTTAAACCACAGGTACTCAAGGTATCGGTAACGATGTGTATCAATGCTATACCGACGGTTCTGAAGAAGAAGGTGTACGATGTACCACATGTGCATGTAATATATTTGTACACTCTTCTCTCGTACATACAGCAATGAATCGCGTCAATGACTGGGCAAGTACAACTCAAACCGACCTTACAGGTTATACACTGCATCACATAATGACACAGTGTGTGCACTGCATCACATAATGACACAGTGTCCACTGCATCACATAATGACACAGTGTGCACTGCTTCACATAATGACACTGGGTGTACACTGCATCACATAATGACACAGTGTGTGCACTGCTTCACATAATGACACTGGGTGTACACTGCATCACATAATGACACAGTGTGTGCACTGCTTCACATAATGACACAGTGTGCACTGCATCACATAATGACACAGTGTGTGCACTGCATCACATAATGATACAGAGTGTGCACTGCATCACATAATGACACAGTGTGTGCACTGCATCACATAATGACACAGTGTGCACTGCTTCACATAATGACACACTGTGCACTGCTTCACATAATGACACAGTGTGTGCACTGCATCACATAATGACACAGTGTGCACTGCTTCACATAATGACACAATGTGCACTGCTTCACATAATGACACAGTGTGTGCACTGCTTCACATAATGACACAGTGTGTGCACTGCATCACATAATGACACAGTGTCCACTGCATCACATAATGATACAGAGTGTGCACTGCATCACATAATGATACAGAGTGTGCACTGCATCACATAATGACACAGTGTCCACTGCATCACATAATGACACAGTGTGTGCACTGCATCACATAATGACACAGTGTGCACTGCTTCGCATAATGACACAATGTGCACTGCTTCACATAATGACACAGTGTGCACTGCATCACATAATGACACAGGGGTGTGCACTGCATCATATACCTGAGTGGTACACGGCTGTAGACATCATGCAATGTATACACTGTTGAAGAGCTAGTGACCGCGGGTTGAAGCAGTATGCATATAATAATAAATGTATGTCTGCTTGTTCTAGGCTGTCAGCCGTGATGCTGGTGACCGAGTCGCTGCCCTTGAACACCATCCCTCGTCCTCCTTACTTCCCAGGAAAACTACCACCCAGAGGAGGTGAGTCTCGGTCAGTCTTCCTGAACCTCGGAGGTGAATCTTGATCAGTCTTGCTGATCCTCTGAGGTGAGTCTTGATCCGTCTTGCTGATTCTGAGAGGTGAGTCCTGGTCAATCTTCCTGATCCTGAAAGGTGAGTCTTCCTGATCCTTAGATTCGAGTCTTGGTCAGCCTTCCTGATCCTGAGAGGTGAGTCATAGTCAGCCTTCCTAACCACGAGAGGTGAGTCTCCGTCAGTCTTTCTGATCTTGAGAGGTGAGTCTTGATCAGTCTACCTTATCCTGAAAGAAGAGTCACTCCAACACTCACACTCACTGCAACACTCACACTCACTGCAACACTCACACTCACTGCAACACTCACACTCACTGCAACACTCACACTCACTGCAACACTCACACTCACTGCAACACTCACACTCACTGCAACACTCACACTCACTGCAGCACTCACACTCACTGCAACACTCACACTCACTGCAACACTCACACTCACTGCAACACTCACATTCACTGCAACACTCACACTCACTGCACTCACACTCACTGCAACACTCACACTCACTGCAACACTCACACTCACTGCAACACTCACACTCACTGCAACACTCACACTCACTGCAACACTCACACTCACTGCAACACTCACACTCACTGCAACACTCACACTCACTGCAACACTCACACTTAATGTATCACTCGCACTAATGATTACATACACTCACGCATCGTGCAGCAATCCCACCAATGATTACATGCACTCACACTTACTGTAGCATTCCCAGCATTGATTACATGCACTCATACTTACTGTAGCAATCCCACCAATGATTACATACACTCATTTTTACTGTAGCATTCCCACCAATGATTAAGTGCACTCACATTTACTGTAGTACTCACACCAATGATTACATGCACTCACATTAACTATAGCACTCCCACCAATGATTATATATATGTGATTACATTTGTTAGAGTAACAAAACACTAATGATCGCATGCACTTACCCTTATAATACCTTAACTATTGATCATATGCACTTACCCTTATAATACCTGAACTATTGATCATATGCACTTAGTCTTACAAGATATGCACTAATTACAGCATGCATTCACATTTACAACATATGCACAAATTATAACTTACACTTACAACATATGCACAAATGATAACATACACTCACACTTACAACATATGCACAAATGATAACATACACTCACACTTCCAACATGTGCACTCACTCTCAAGCACTCACACCATATGGACTAATGATCACAAGTACTCACTTTTGCACCACAACCAACACGTTGTGGTGCAACCATCACATAATCTCACCTACAACACCACCAGACTAGTGGTCACATCACCTCATACATTCTCACAGGACACATTGCAAAGTTACTTTTTGCTATTTCTAGTAGTTTTTTTCCTACTTGTCTCAGATCAATGGTTTCCCAGCCAATTTGGCCCTGAATGAAATCTTTAAGTAACATCTTCGTTTTCGCTGAAACAGAATTGGAAAAAAATCAAATGACTTCTCTATCTCATTTTCAGGTCATTTGTTCCCTCCCACGTGCGTGTGCGTCAGGTCTCCGTGCCCCTGTGACCAAAACTGGGGATGACTCTAAAAGACTAAAACTCTTTCAATGAATTTTGCAACATAGGATAATTCATTCAATATGTACGCCGTCAGTGTGGCAATATGATTCATTTGGATCTCTCTTGATAAAATGTGTAATATATATAGTGCTTTAAACTCTCAAATTAAAAATGAATATTAATACAGGTTTTTAATATCCTGAAGAAAAGTGACAATTTATGCATGTGTATAAATTATTGATACGACTAACGTTGACGTCTGTTCCACGCAATGCCACTTAGAGCTAGAGAAAATACAAGAGTCAGTATTGTTCTGTAAAACTGTACTGGGGCAGTGCTGACTAATTAGACAGTGATGTGGTAGTACCTACCAGTGGGACAGTACTGAAGCCAGTAATGGCTTGATAGTGTCCGAGGCAGTATACACTTGGAAGACAATATACACCAGGGGGGACGGTACAGGAGACTATATACACTAGGGGGACGATACACGAGACAGTATACACCAGTGGGACGGTACAGGAGACTATATACACTAGGGGACAGTATACACCAGAGGGGACATTACTTGAGACAATATACACTAGGGGGACGATTCAGGAGACAGAATACACCAGGGAGACGATACAAGAGACAGTGTACACCAGGGAGGACGGTGCAGGAGACATTATACACCAAGGGGGACGGTACAGGAGACAGTATACACTAGTGGGACGATCAAGGAGACAGTATACACCAGAGAGACGACACAAGAGACAGTGTACACCAGGGAGGACGGTGCAGAAGACATTATACACCAAGGGGGACGGTACAGGAGACAGTATACACCAGGGGGACGGTACAGGAGACAGTATACACCAGGGGGACGGTACAGGAGACAGTATACACCAGGCGGACGGTACAGGAGACAGTATACACCAGGGGGACGGTACAGGAGACAGTATACACCAGGCGGACGGTACAGGAGATAGTATACACCAGGGGGACGGTACAGGAGACAGTACAGGGCTAAGTGAGGTTTACAATGATTAGGCCTAATTGAGGTTTACAGTGAGACGGGCTAAGTGAGGTTTACAATGAGTAGGCCTAATTGAGGTTTACAATGAGACGGGCTAAGTGAGGTTTACAATGAGAGGGGCTAAGTGAGGTTTACAATGAGTAGGGCTAAGTGAGGTTTACAATGAGAGGGGATAAGTGAGGTTAACAATGATAGCTGCAAAGTAATGTTTACAATGAGAGCGACTATATGAGGTTTACAATGATAGCGGAGAGACATAATGGCACAACTTATTTCACATTATTACGACGATGAGATAGAGGAGAAGTAAAGTTGAAGTAATGTTAATTGATCATTCACTCACTAATGCTTACATGCACTCTCACTCACTGTAACACTCACGCTAATGATCATAAGCACTCACACTCACTGCAACACTCAACACTCACTCACACTCACTGCAACACTCACACTCACTGCAGCACTCACACTCACTGCAACACTCACACTCACTGCAACACTCACATTCACTGCAACACTCACACTCACTGCAACACTCACACTCACTGCAACACTCACACTCACTGCAGCACTCACACTCACTGCAGCACTCACACTCACTGCAACACTCACACTCACTGCAACACTCACACTTAATGTATCACTCGCACTAATGATTACATACTCTCACGCATCGTGCAGCATTCCCAGCATTGATCACATGCACTCACACTTACTGTAGCATTCCCACCAATGATCACATGCACTCACACTTACTGTAGCACTCCCACCAATGATTATATGTGTGATTACATTTGTTACAGTAACAAAACACTAATGATCGCACGCACTTACCCTTATAATACCTGAACTATTGATCATATGCACTTAGTCTTACAAGATATGCACTAATGATAACATACACTCACACTTCCAACATGTGCACTCACTCTCAAGCACTCACACCATATGGACTAATGACCACAAGTACTCACCTTTGCACCACAACCAACACGTTGTGGTGCAACCATCACATAATCTCACCTACAACACCACCAGACTAGTGGTCACATCACCTCATACATTCTCACAGGACACATTGCAAAGTTACTTTTTGCTATTTCTAGTAGCTTTTTTCCTCCTTGTCTCAGATCAATGGTTTCCCAGCCAATTTGGCCCTGAATGAAATCTTTAAGTAACATCTTCGTTTTTGCTGAAACAGAATTAGGACAAAATAATCAAATGATTTCTCTATCTCATTTTCAGGTCGTGTGTTCCCTTTTAAGTGCGTGTGCGTGACGTCTCCGTGCCCCTGTGATCAAAACTGGGATTGACTCTAACAGACTGAAACTCTTTCAATGAATTTTGCAACATAGGACAATTCATTCAATATGTACGCCGTCAGTGTGGCAATATAGCATTCATTTGGATCTCTCTTGATAAAATGTGTAATATATATAGTGCTTTAAACTCTCAAATTAAAAATGAATATTAATACAGGTTTTTAATATCCTGAAGAAAAGTGACAATTTATGCATGTGTATAAATTATTGATACGACTAACGTTGACGTCTGTTCCCGCAATGCCACTTAGAGCTAGAGAAAATACAAGAGTCAGTATTGTTCTGTAAAACTGTACTGGGGCAGTGCTGACTAATTAGACAGTGATGTGGTAGTACCTACCAGTGGGACAGTACTGAAGCCAGTAATGGCTTGATAGTGTCCGAGGCAGTATACACTTGGAAGACAATATACACCAGGGGGGACGGTACAGGAGACTATATTCACTAGGGGGACGATACACGAGACAGTATACACCAGTGGGACGGTACAGGAGACTATATACACTAGGGGAATGATACAGGAGACAGTATACACCAGTGAGACGGTACAGGAGACTATATACACTAGGGGGACGATACAGGAGACAGTATACATACGGTACAGGAGACACATAGGGGAATGATACAGGAGACAGTATACACCAGAGGGGACGTTACTTGAGACAATATACACTAGGGGGACGATCCAGGAGACAGTATACACCAGGGAGACGATACAAGAGACAGTGTAGACCAGGGAGGACGGTGCAGGAGACAGTATACACCAAGGGGGACGGTGCAGGAGACAGTATACACCAGGGGGAAGATACAGGAGACAGCATACACCAGGGGGACGGTACAGGAGACAGTATACACCACGGGGATGATACAGGAGACAGTATACACCAAGGGGATGGTACAGGAGACAGTATACACCAGGGGGACGGTACAGGAGACAGTATACACCAGGGGGATGGTACAGGAGACAGTATACACCAGGGGGACGGTACAGGAGACAGTATACACCAGGGGGACGGTACAGGAGACAGTTTACACCATGCCGACGGTACAGGAGACAGTATACACCAGGGGGACGGTACAGGAGACAGTTTACACCAGGGGGATGACACAGGAGACAGACGGTACAGGAGACAGTATACACCAGGGGGATGACACAGGAGACAGTTTACACCAGGGGGACGGTACAGGAGACAGTATACACCAGGGGGACGGTACAGGAGGCAGTATACACCAGGGGGGGACGATACAGGAGACAACATACACCAGGGGGACGGTACAGGAGACAGTATACACCAGGGGGACGGTACAGGAGACAGTATACACCAGGGGGACGGTACAGGAGACAGTTTACACCAGGGGGACGGTACAGGAGACAGTATACACCAGGGGGACGGTACAGGAGACAGTATACACCAGGGGGACGGTACAGGAGACAGTATACACCAGGGGGATGGTACAGGAGACAGTATACACCAGGGGGACGGTACAGGAGACAGTTTACACCAGGGGGACGGTACAGGAGACAGTATACACCAGGGGGACGGTACAGGAGACAGTATACACCAGGGGGACGGTACAGGAGACAGTATACACCAGGGGGGACGGTACAGGAGACAGTATACACCAGGGGGACGGTACAGGAGACAGTATACACCAGGGGGATGGTACAGGAGACAGTATACACCAGGGGGACGGTACAGGAGACAGTATACACCAGGGGGACGGTACAGGAGACAGTATACACCAGGGGGACGGTACAGGAGACAGTATACACCAGGGGGACGGTACAGGAGACAGTATACACCAGGGGGACGGTACAGGAGACAGTATACACCAGGGGGACGGTACAGGAGACAGTATACACCAGGGGGACGGTACAGGAGACAGTATACACCAGGGGGACGGTACAGGAGACAGTATACACCAGGGGGACGGTACAGGAGACAGTATACACCAGGGGGACGGTACAGGAGACAGTATACACCAGGGGGACGGTACAGGAGACAGTATACACCAGGAGGACGGTACAGGAGACAGTATACACCAGGGGGACGGTACAGGAGACAGTATACACCAGGAGGACGGTACAGGAGACAGTATACACCAGGGGGACGGTACAGGAGACAGTATACACCAGGAGGACGGTGCAGGAGACAGTATACACCAGGGGGACGGTACAGGAGACAGTAGACAGTGTACACCAGGGGGACGGTACAGGAGACAGTATACACCAGGAGGACGGTACAGGAGACAGTATACACCAGGGGGACGGTACAGGAGACAGTATACACCAGGAGGACGGTACAGGAGACAGTATACACCAGGGGGACGGTACAGGAGACAGTATACACCAGGAGGACGGTACAGGAGACAGTATACACCAGGGGGACGGTACAGGAGACAGTGTACACCAGGGGGCGGTGCCGGAGACAGTATACACCAGGGGGACGGTACAGGAGACAGTATACACCAGGGGATGACACAGGAGACAGTATACACCAGGGGGACGGTACAGGAGACAGTATACACCAGGGGGACGGTACAGGAGACAGTATACACCAGGGGGACGGTACAGGAGACAGTATACACCAGGGGGACGGTACAGGAGACAGTATACACCAGGGGGACGGTACAGGAGACAGTATACACCAGGGGGACGGTGCCGGAGACAGTATACACCAGGGGGACGGTGCAGGAGACAGTATACAACAGGGGGACGGTACAGGAGACAGTATACACCAGGGGGACGGTGCAGGAGACAGTATACACCAGGGGGACGGTGCCGGAGACAGTATACACCAGGGGGACGGTGCAGGAGACAGTATACACCAGGGGGACGGTA